AGGCGTACGAGTGTCTATACCGAGGTGCCCGGCCGTCGCGGTCGGTTCTTTGTGTCTCCCGGAGCATCCTCGCTTGCCGGTTTCTCAGGACGCATACCTTCCATTGTGTGTAGGATATGCCGGTAGAGGCGGTTATTTTCGATTCGGTAATCCGGGTGCTGCTCTGGATTTTTCTCCACTTCCTCGTACTTCTTATGATACCAGTCGGTGTCTGCGGCCGCCACTGCGCAGACCTCGAGCGGTTGGCAGGACAGTGGGTCAGCGAGAAGATTGTCCGTTCCCCGGCGGTACTGGATTGTGAAGTCGTATTGCCCTAGTTCCAGGGCCCAGCGGGCCAACCTCCCTAACAGGCTTTCGATCGGATTCAATCATTTGAGGGAGTGGTGGTCGGTCATCACGACGAAGCGGTACCCCTCGAGGTAATCACGGAACTTCCAAATGCCCCATTTTATCGCGAGGTATTCCAACTCGGTCGCCGAGTAATTCTTCTCGGCGCCGTTCAGCGTCCGGCTAACATAGCCGATAACACGGTCCGTTCCATCGATTTGCTGAGTTAGCGCGGCGCCCAGCCCTTCCTGGCGTCGGTCTGGAGTACGAACGTTTGGCCCCAATCTGGACAGGCTAATATTGGGGCGATCGTTAGGAGCTTTTTCACCTCGTCGAATGCGGCTTGCTGCGTTTCCCCCCATTCCCACTTGGCTTTCTTTCTCAGGAGACGGTGTAGCGGCGTGGCTACGCTCGATACATCCTTCAGGAATCGGCGGTACCACGATATCAGCCTCAGGAAACGCTGTATTTCTTTGGCGTTACGGGGCGGCGTGAGATTCATGACCGCGGCGGTTTTCTCCGGGTCTGCATGCAGCCCGTTCTCGTCAACCAAGTGTCCGAGGTATTTCAATCGGCACCTCGCAAACTGGCACTTTTCGGCGTTTGGTTTCAGCCTTGCTTCTGTTAGGCGGCGAAACACCTCTCCCAGTACCCGTAGGTGCTCGCTGAACGTCCTGGAGACCACGACAATGTCGTCGAGGTAGGCGAAGGCGTTCGGAAGCAGTTCTGGTGATATCACATGGCCGAGCAGTCTCTGAAATGTGGCCGGTGCCGAGTGCAGGCTGAATGACATGACGTTGAATTCGAATAAGCCCCTGCCGGCGACTGTGAAGGCGGTGAGTGATCTGCTTTCAGGCGTCAACAGGACCTGCCAGTATCCGTTCTTCAGGTCGATATAGTTGACAGGTATCGTGCCCCCCGCAGTTTGTCTAACGTGGCGTTGATCTGTGGCAGCGGATAGGCGTCTTTGCGGGTGACTCGGTTAAGCCTACGGTAGTCTAAACACAGCCGTGGCTTCCCGTCCTTTTTCTAGACCACTACGATGGGCGAGCTCCATGGACTCGTCGACGGCCTAATTACGTTCTCCGCAAGCATCTTCTGTACTTCTTCGTCGATCACCTGCTGCATCGCTGGATTTCGCGGCCGGTATCGCTGTTTAATGGGCGTCGGGTCTTTCAAGCGGATCTCGTGCTGAATCAGGGGGGTGTTTCCCGTGACTTCCACATTCCCCCATTTCCGCCGCGAGGAACGCCTCCAACTGGGCCCTTTCGGATTCTTTCAGGTGTGCCAGCCCGCCCAGTTCCTTCACTGCTCCCAGGCTCGTCTTACTCGATGTTGCCCGTACCACGCGCCCGTTCAGCCGGATTTCCATCCCCAGCTTCTCGAGGGCGTTCATGCCTAGCAACATGTCGTAATTCAGGCCCTTCATTATCAAAAATTGCTGCCTGTAGGTCTTCCCCATGGTGTGTATCTGCCCCATAAGGCTGCCTTTGATCATCATCTCAGAACCGTCGGCAAGCATCGCCACTCTTGAATCGGCTTCGTCTCGCCAGCCATTCTGTCGGCCGGTTCGTGCCATTCTCGTTTATGTACGACCTGACTGATCCTGGGTCGACGAGGGCTATGACGTAGCTTCCTCCTATGGCGACCTCCAGGAACAGCCGGTTCTCTTCGGTCTTTACGGGTTCGGAGGCCGGTCGGAGCTGCCGGCATCGCCGGCCCCGTTGGCGTTTCCCAGCTTTTCGCACGGGCAGTCGCGGGAGAATTTACCGTCCGCGCCACAGTAGGAGCAGAACCTTCGGGGTGGGTTCTTACATTTGTAGCGATTGTGGTCGGGCTGCTTGCATCGCCAACAACAGCTTCCTCCATCATACGCTGCAGTAATAGGCTTTTGGTGCGCTGCGGAGATTTTGCGATTCTCGTCCTTCGTGGGGGCGGCTTCAAGCGCGACCTGTTTCCTAGTATCTTCCAGTGCTTCCGCCCGTTGGATCAGGTCGGTATTGCTTTGAATTGATGACCTCGGGATGTACAGCCGGTACTCTGCTCGGATATTATAGTACACAACGTCCAATTGCCTGTCGGTCATGTATCCGCCGCGGCGCCTCATTAGCGTCATCACCGCGGTCACGAAGGAGCGGATTTTCTCAGTCGCGCCCTGCCTTCGGTCGCTGATTTGGCGGTCGAGATGTCAGAGCTCGCCCGGCAACAAGTAAAAGCTCCTCAGAACGCTTTCAAAGTTCATCGAGGGTGCGATATTCGGCCTGGAAGTTCCGGTGCCATAATTGGGCGTCGCCCCGCAAGAGTTCCGGGAATCCCTGCAGGATTTGTTCGTCCGAGAGGGCATATGCTCGCTGCAGTTCCTAGAGCCTTTCGAGGAACGCGTACAGGTCGCGGCCATCAAAATGGCAATTCCATTTCCGCATTTGATCCAGCACTCTACCGGTGTCTGGTCTGCTCTGGTCCTGTACTGGCGTGGAATGCCGTCGAGCTCGGAGCTGATCTAGCTCGACCTCCATATTTTCGAGGTCGTGAGTCAGGTCGTCCTCTTCCTTATACCCGGGTGCATCCTCCGGTTTGTTATCAAATTCGCTAGGGTGCGCCCGCACATATGCCACCATTCGTTGGCGTAGCGTGGCTAGAAGTCCTTCGGAGTCCAGTCCCTGCCCAGCCAATTCGTACTTCAAATGCTCCTTCGATAGGGCATATATACCCATGCCACCCTCGTACTCATTTTCGGATTCGGGTTCAGTTTATTCGCGACGGGGAAAATTTACTACCACTAATCAACGCTATCCTAAGTTACGATTCGTCCCTATCCTTCAAGCGACAACGTAGTTGACAACGGGTCCCTGTTCGGGCGCCATGTAACGATCTGATTTCCCCGTCGGCTCGCGGAGTCGACGGGTCGCGTCGCTTCCGATACCCGGGCTCGGGCACTATGCGACGCCTTTTCTGGTGGACGCGTTGTCCGTTGGTGTGTTTCCTTCCGCTCGCCCTTGCCGAATAGCGTCAGCAGTCAGGGTCGCGAGCGAGGGGAGTAGCACCGTGTACGCAATTCTAATCGGGTAAGGTGTTATCGCTTAAAGGAAAGAGACTCAGGTGTCGTGAATAACCAGTGTGTTTATTTAGCTAACAAGGGGAGCACCAGGTAGTGGCCACATATTTGCGAGAAAATTGCATTACAAATTTTTCGTGCGCGTTTATTCGAGTATGCGAGCGAGGCTATAGCAGATAGCAAGCGTAGCCTAGCGGATAAGGCGATGGACAAGAAATCTGTATGTTGCAGGTTCGAATCCTACCTTTTCCCAACTTTTTTTTAAATAAATTTTTACAAAATGTGGATTGAAGTAAATGATTAGACAATGTAGAGTCGTTAAATAAAAAAATTAGTGTTTTTATTATTAAATTTAATATTGTATATTAACATGAATACGTAGTTTCGTCTGCAACTATACACGGAAAAAAATGATATGGTGCACAC